GCGCATGCGCGTTCTGGGCTGTCCGCCTCTCGTCTTCCCGAGACTGAGTTGGACCGCCCCTTGTTCCCCGCTCGGTTTTACGCCACCGCCACCCCACCCCACCAAAGCCAGAGGGAGCAACACATTTTTTTTGTAGGATGAACACGGTTTTGTACAATTAAACCATGTCTCTGAGTCTTTATTGCCCCATCTCTGTTCCCCCTCACTGCAGCAGGAACCAGCATGGTCTCCACTCCCTTCCGCCTGGACCTGCCAGAGCAGGAACCTCCTCACCCCACCCTGGGGCCCTGCCTGAGTCATTCTCTGTCCCCCTCCCCCCACCTAGCACTGGGGTCCAGGAGACAGTCCCTGGCAGGCATAAACCTCTAGTCCTTTCCACTGTCCAGGGCCAGAAGAGAAGTGAGGGAATGGGGGGAACAGGGCAAGACTTTTGCCCAGAATCGGTAAGTAGCTGAAAATTGCTAAAGGAGGACTTTCAGCCAGATGATTAAATGAGTTAATAGTGCATACACAGGACAGCACACAACATGAAAATGTGAGCCTGAAAATCTACCCCCATCCTTTCCTAAGGACCTGAGTCCACCGACTATGCATTTCCACTAAAACAAACCCTGGCTCAAGAAGTTGCAACTACAGAAGAATGGGGAATGATTAAGTCACACCAGCAGACTGGCAGAGATGGGAAGGACCCTGAGGTTGGGTGGATGAAGGGAAACATGGAATGGATTCTGGGAGCCAACTCAGCTCTACTGCTCCTTTTTCTTCTTGTGGGGCGCCTCTGCATTCCAGTAGAAGAGAAGCTGGGCAGCAATGAGGCCATTGCATAAGGAAGAGACCACAAAGGTTCCAGCCATGAGTGGGTCTCCAGTTTCCTGGATGTGAGAGAGAGAGCTAGGGTCACTCTTCAGCCAAGCCCAAAAAAAGGTTCCAGAGGGGGCAGCTTTGAGCCCTCAACTGTGTCTGGTAAGATGAGATTTTAGTGCCCTCTAGAGGGAAGAATGTGCACTCACCTGAATGGAGGTGAAGATTCGCGCCAGGGAGCCCCCAAAAAGCAAAAAGACTGTGATGGCTGAGAGCTGGCCCGTGTGTCCGTTGCGGTAGTTGGTGGCTGCCTGGAGCAGCTAGAAGAGTTAACCTTCGTTCTGTCATTCGAATTCTTCCCATCACAGATTCCCACATTCCTCTTAGTCCAACAACCCCACACTGAGCTTCTACTCTGTCCCTCTCTCTCCCAGTATTCCCTCCCAACATTTTTTTTCCTTTGCTCCCAGTACCAACCTTCCCCATCACCACAGCAGGCACATTGGAGGCCTGGAGCAGGGTGACTACAGCCAGGGGCGTCAGTGGTGAAAGAAGCACCAGCAGGACCAGGGCATAGCACGCTAGGAAAGCGACACCTTGGGGTCAGGGAGACAAGGAGTCCTCATCAACCTCTGGAGTCCTCTGGCTTCCCTAGGCCTGAGTTCCCAGCAGGGCTCCCAAGAGCCACAGCCTGCTCTAAATCCCCAGCACCTTTCACAGTCTGTCCTCTGTAGAGCAGGACCAGGAAGCAGATGGTGACTGTCTGGAGCATCAGGAATAGGGCTTCACCCCAAGAGCTGCAGAGTTAAGAGTTGGAAGGAAGCAAGGCGGGCCTGGAAAGAGGCAGGGAAAGCCCCCAAAGCCCGTCCATCTGGGGACACGATTCTTTGATTACTCTCTGTCCTCCGCAGCCCTACTGATTCCTTACCTCCTGCCTCCCAGCACCTCCCACTTCTGATTGCCTCACTGTGGACCCAGGCACTCTTGGAATGCTCACCCCCTCTTATCACCTCCATATATGATGACTTGATTTCCAGAAGGGCTTAAGTTCTTCCTGCCCTTTTACCTCCCTCACACTAACCCCACCAGAGTTGTGGACAATTACCCTTGGGGATAAAGGGTAAGCTCCTCACCTGAAGGGAAAGTTGTTGACGATGCTGTAGACCATGGTCCCAGTCAATGCCACTAGTTCCAGCATTACTGACTTGACACTCAGCCCTTCGGCACTCTTGGCTCCAAGGATTTTAAACACCTGGGGCAATTTTACTGGAGAAAGGATGAGAAGGGCAGTGTTGAGAAGCTGATATCCCTTGGGAATTTAACACAACAGCTACTGGGAAGCATGTTGACCCCACTTCTGGTTAAGGGACCCATTAGCTTATGGCATTTAGCACTCCATCCCCATCCCAACAGCAGGAAAGGAAGATAAAATACATACCCAGAAGTGACCCAGCTACAATGCCCAGTCCCAGGCCTTTGCTGAGGAGAATCTTGAGACAGGGGACTGAGAAGAGAAAAAGGGATAAGCAAAGAGGAGACCTCTGGAACCAAGGCCAGGGCTTTCAGGAAGCAGTCCAAGCCGACAGGCTTAAAGCGCTACTGTGGGCTACCGCTGCTAAGATGATGATTACCCAAACAAGAAAGCCTTGTGTGCCTGGAGGCAGGTGAAAAAGGCCTCTCCTTGGTGCTGCAAATCATCATTCAGACCAGGTGACTTTCCAAAACAGCTTTTGCCATTCCTTCCCTCTGACCCAATCTTCTATTCTCTGAAGATTACATCTAAACTCCTTGTTCTGCCTTCTCTCCACTGCTCCCTGTATAAAGCTGAAAAATGCCCAATGAGTCCTCTGATCCTTTATTCCCCTCCACTGAGCGACTAGGTGATCCACTTTACATGTCTTTTCTCTTCAAGGACGGGTCTCTTCCATATTCATTCCTGAACCCATTATCCCTGGCTCTACCCTTCATTTTCTCTAGCCTTGACGTTTCCCCCGCAAGGTGCCTGGCCCAGTGGCAGTCAGATTCTCAAGGATCATGAATGCGGCTAAAACTGTTCCAGGAGCACAGTGGAGTAACACGAACTGACAGGGGCAGACTGGGAAAGCTTCCCAAAGGGTCTGATGTCTAAAGTGGACCTTGTTGTGGAGGTGCCTCGTATAAAGAGAAAGATAAGCAAGTTATTCCAAAATTAGACCATGAGCAAACGTGGAGGTTGGAAGGAAAGCCATCAGGAAGACAGGAGCCTTTGGGGAGATGCCGCTGAAGGCCTGAATTCACCAGGCTTGGAATCAAGTTTAACCTTGCTCTTTAAGGTACAGCGACCTACTAAAGGTTGGAACTATTTGATCATATTTTAACTTTGTTTTATGAAATTGAGTCTTTTGGCCTTTCATTTGTCGCTAAAGCATAAATTTCACAAAGAATTACTTCCACCGGGCAGCTCCCACTCTCACTCAAAAATGGCGTCCTCCCTCTACGGAGAGCGAGACACTTCCGCCCCGCTCAGAAGTAACTTCCGCTCAGGACAGCGTGCAATAGTCACAGCGGTCCCTTAGTACGCTTCACGCCCCACTTATGGTCCTAGGGCTCACCAGTAGAACTTTGACTGGATGCCGAATAAAACTCACCGTGAAGCAAGTCCCACTGGACTAAAATTTGGTCGTAGCATTTCTCAGGTAAAAGAATCGGAACCAGCACCCGTTTGAGCGGCCCGTCCGCCTCGGCCGCCATGTTGCAAAAGTAGCTTCCGCCAGGCTCTCCAGACCGGCATTGATTTACGGCGCGCATGCGCGTTCTGGGCTGTCCGCCTCTCGTCTTCCCGAGACTGAGTTGGACCGCCCCTTGTTCCCCGCTCGGTTTTACGCCACCGCCATCCCACCTGCAGTAGCGTGATAGGTCTTGTCCAGAGACCGTGTTTTGGATGCACCCTCCCTGCTCGAATTTTAAAGCCTGCCAAAGCGTACATGTACGCCTGCGCAGTTTCATCTTTCGCGCCTTTGTTTACCTTTCTAGTTTGGAAGCAAGATTTATCCGGCTTTTCTGTGCTTCTGCTGGGCGCCATCTTGTCTTCTCCCAGCTGACTTTATATTGTTCGAAGTTAAGAGAGAAGAAGCGTTGAGTCTCCAAAATGGAGTTGGGTGAGGGCGCTGTAGCTCTGTAACTCCTGTTCTCTCTGCTTCTCCAGAGGGAATGGCATGGGTGGGAGCAGGACATTTGTGCCCTACAGCCCTCCGTGTGTCCCAGGCTGTGGGCAGGGCCCATGCTTCTCCCTCCTCTGGTATGCCTAGGACTTGGTGGATAGGTGTACCAGCAGCTGCTGAGTCGGGACAGTGAAGCAGAAGAGGAGGAAGTGGGGACGGCGAGACCAGTTCCAAGGGAGGACAGTCACCCCAGCCCCCTGAGGGGCCGAGCCCTGGCAACCTCCATGATGCACAAGCAGGGTCCCCTGTGTTCCCTCCTACCCTACTGGCCCGAGGGCGCCATACTTGGGGCAGGGCCTGCTCCTCCGTCTTTGACCACTTCCTGAACAAGGACTTAAGCAAGGTTGAGAGGGCCCAGCAGCTCCTCTTGGGAAAGGGTACCTTTCTCAATGATTACCCTGTGGGAGCTATGTCCTCTGCTACCCAGCGCTGCGACACCAACTCTGCCATCCCCTGTGGAGGTGAGCCTGGCCATCATGCTGTGGCAGCCTAGTGCCTGCTGCAAGTACTACGCTGTCTTGCAGCCCTTTGGTGATTCTCGTGCCACAGTCTGCAAGGTCGCAGCGATGTCTGAGGTGGTGGTGGGGCTGCTGGGGCCCTGCCACGTGCAGGCTGCACTCAATGGGGTGGGTCTTCAGGTCCTGGTGGTTGCTTTCTATAGCCTTATGTGGCTCTTAAAACTGGGAGGGCTCCATTCTGGCCCCCAGTGATTGCACCATGGCCTACTATAAAGGGCAGGAGTGGCATTCAGTGGTGGTGCAAGCTGTGGCTGTCTGGCAGGCCCTTTTGTAGGATCTGGACACAGGCTGCTCGGGAGGTGCCACTGACTACCACTAGGTACACCACCACTTAGGACATCAGGGTTGGTTCCATGGGTGGCACAGGCTGGAAGTATGTTGTTCCCAGGAGCAGAGAGGGTTACTATCTGGAGGTCAGAGTACCCACTGCTCCCATTGTTGATGAAACCCTTTGCAGGTGAGATAAGAGCATCCCAGGTGCAGCAGGGTTTAATCAGGCTGTTCAGCCAGCCATGGACACGGTAGGCAGGACAGGCATTCTTGTTGCTAAAGAGCCACTGGCACAGCCTTTGGAAACTAAATGACACAGATGTGACCTTCCAGCGCATATACATTGCTACTGCTGCCTGCTTCACCTGTAACCACCTGTATATCAGGGTCAGGAAGGCCACTGGGATGGGTGGCTCCACTGGGTTGGAGGGGAAAGGAAAATGGAGCAGGCAGGGACCCCAGAATGAGGAAGGGAGGCAAGACAGATTCAACACCAGGTGTGCCAGACTTTGGGGAATGAATTCCTGAGGGTATTTGGTCAGACATTGACATTTGCCTCCCTCCTCACCGGCTATTGCTGGCTCCCTGACACAACCATGGAAGGCACAGAAAGTGTTGTGACAAGAAACTCACAGCTTTTAATCCTGGCAGTAAGGACAAAGAAAACCAAAGACAGATTTGAGTAGGTTTTACTATTCTCCCACTTGGGAGGTTGGGGGAGAGGGGAATCTGTCATATTTAATAAACATCTCCCCTCATCCCTCCCAATTGCATTATCTCTACTTTTGTTCTTCACGACAGTGAGGAAAAGATCACTGTCTCTGAGTCAGTTGAAGGGTCAGAAATGAGGGCATCCCCTGGTGCCTTGAGTGTTGGGACAAATGCTCAGAGGGGCTGGTAGGTGGGTGGGCGTCTCCGGAAGATGCAGAAGGTAACAAGCACCAGGGTGAGAAGGCCAAGGGCAATCAGGCCGATGATGAGAGGCAGCAAGATGGATTGGTCACTGGGACAAGAGAAACCTGGCAGAAAGATAGGGCAAGTAGGCATCACAATGGTGGTGGTGGCTGGGATAAAGGTGGGAGGACATTAGGAAGTAGGAGATTGGTGAGGTCACTTAAGTGACAACAGTAAATGAAAGGGGAGAATGGGCAGCCTTGTAGAGCAGGGGAGGACAGTTGCCCTATGACAGGTCTGAAGAGGGAGGACATTTTTGGGTGTAAGACGGGAGTTTATAGACCTGGAATAAGGGTTTTCAGTGCCATGGGAGAGTTCTAGGAAGGAAGGAGTAGGTCTTACTTGGCCCAAAGGCCCCTGTAGTGGGCAGCTGAGCAGCTTGTAGCTTCAGGAAGAGCAGGTCGAGATGGAAAGCTGGTGAAAGAACGATGCTCGCATTTCTGCAACTGAAGCTCTGGCCCATCGGGGCTTGGAGTTCTCGAAGGGATGCATTCTGAACTGAGAATGTCCACTCTAAAAGAGTGAGTTAGGGTCAGCTCCATATCCATGTCCCCCACTCCCCCAGGGAGTCCAGTGCAAGTGATGGGAAAGGGACATTTACTTACGTGCTGCCAGCGGGAAGGACACATTATACTCCACAGCCATAGAGTTCAGGTAGACAGTGCTCTGCAGTGGCTCCTAAGGAGGTGACCAGGAAGGCTCAGGGAAGCAGGGGAGAGTGGTATCCATGTCCACAGAATAAGCAGTGCGGCAAGGTATTGGTAGGGGTCGGGTACTTGGAGGGTGAGAGTGAGGGATGAGGGTGCGGTACCTGCTTGAATCCAAAGCTGAGCTGTCCATAGGGGAATGAGAGAAGCAAGTGGGGATGGGCACCCTCACAGTCCCCCTGGGCCTTGGTTTTGTTGGGATTCAATACAGAGATGCCCCAGTTCTGTGGAAGTTAAAGATGAGAAGGTCACAAGGCTACACAGCTAGCTATGCCATCCAAGGTGCTCTGTTCCTTTCATCCCCACCCTGTCCCTTCTCTGCTCTTCCTTCTTCCCTTCTGAACCATAGCAAGCGGTCTCACCCTTCTCATGTCCACTGTCTTTTTTTTTTTTTTTTTTAGCTGAGCCATCCTGCTACCTGTTGGCAGCTCAGCGGCTGCTCAGCTCGGGCTGGACTCGAACCGCTGTTGCTCAGAGCTCAAACTCTTGAGCGAGCTCTTAACCAACTGAGCCACTCAGCCGGCCCCCTGTCCACTGTCTTTTAGGTTTACCTGTCCTCCATCCTGGGTTGGGTACAGAACTCGAAGCTGAATCTGGGCTTGGAGGTGGACACAGGGCTGGGAGCCATTAATCCAAGTGTAGTCTCCTATAGCAGCCTTGGAGCCTGGGCTAGGACTTGGAGAGGGTGGAGGTGGTCCTGGGTGGGGGAAACTCGTAGAGGATCCTGGGCTGCTGGCAGTGCTGTTACTTGTTGGATGAACTGTGGCATTTCCATGGCTGGTGGTGGTGACAGGACTGTGAGTGGCTGTTGTAGTTTCATGGCTGGTGGTGCCTAAGGTAGTGGTTCTTTGGCTCTTGGTAGTACTGGGGCTGGTTGTTCCAGTGCTTCCTGTAGCTGTAGATGTCACCGTGAAGGATGGCAGCAGAGTGGCCGATTTTTTATGAGGACATTCATTCCCCGTTTCCTGGGCTTTCAGCAGAGGAAAGACTGGTTAGCAACCCAGGGGCAGACCTTCTTCCCAGCGGCTCTCCCCTTCTCTTACCTGCTAGTAGCCCCAGCAAGATCCCGGAGAAGAGTACAGCCAGCTTCATGGCAGAACAGCCTCAACCCAAGTCCAACTAGGTTGTCAGTCCCAGCTGCTTGTTGCTCAAGTTAAATCTTATTCCCAGCCTTCTTTTGGAAGAGGAAATGAAAGTCTTTGACTTCCTGTAACTGAAGCTAACCCTACACCCCCAACCTGACTCAGGCACCTCAACCCCAGCCACCAATATCTGAGTCATTAAATTTTTGTCATTAGATGATTGGCCCCTGGCTTCACATAAGTGGGAGTTGTCAGGATCAAGCAAGTCATGTGGGCAGAATGAGTTGGGAGTTTTGGAACAGTTGATCCTTGGGAACCCAGACCCATGTATCTACTTGAGCAAAATTTAAGTGGTAATTACAGAACCAGTTGAGAAACAGCAGCCCATTTCTAGAGAAAAATTCAATAGGATGTCAAGTTACTTTTCCCCCTTCCATCTATCACTTCCTCTTGGCTGAGACATGAGGCACTTGTGATGGTGATTGCCCAACCCCTACAGAAGGGTCACGCTATCCAGTTAATATGACCTTTGGGGTTAACTAGAACAGTAACATAACAAATGGGTAAATGTTAGCTGGGGGAGGGGAGATATACTCCATTGCAGGTGGGAGGGAAGGGGAAGAAAGAAATGAGAAGCCAAACAGGCAGTTTCCAAGTCATTTTATTCAGAATTTTGTGTTTGTTTCCTGAATCAATAAATACTATACAAAACAATGTAAAAATGGCTACCATTTTTTCTCCCCTGCTCCCCCCACCTGGGGACAGTACCCTGGGCCACCTAACTCAGGGGGTTCTCTCCTCCAGATTTGGTCCAGCAAATGAGGTTGAGTGACAATTATAGGCCCCTTGAATCATTTTCAAAGGAATTTGGCTGGGGTGGAAAGAGCCTCTGGGATTTGGAGGTTAACTAGGGAAGTGGATTAGTGTTTTTGGGAGAAGAGACGGCGCCTGGGGCAAGAGCCTACCCCAAAGAAAAGGGTATCTAAAATGTCCACGGTTCCTTCTTTGCCTCAAAAAGTGACATTTATTCAAAGACAAAAAAAAAAAAAAAAAAAGAAAAAAAATGACAAGATGTCCATCCCTTGGCTCCCTTCCCTCCCCCCTCCTGCTCCTCCTCAGCCCAAGGACTGAACCCCTGGCTGGTGCGAGGTGGCAGGCCAGCCCCTCAGATGAGGTCAGCAACATTGAGAGGCATCTCCTCAATGGAAGTGTTGTAGAAGGTCTCAATATCTCGAAGAGTCCTTTTGTCTTCTTCTGTCACCATGTTAATAGCCACACCCTTACGACCAAATCGTCCACCACGACCAATTCTGGAAAACAAGGACATCTTAGGATACACGAGGATAAGGGACACGAGAAACCAGAAACTTCAGCCCAGGATTAGGCATAAGGGAGGGGTTGGGTGAGTACACTCACCTGTGGATATAGTTTTCCCTGTTGGTGGGAAGGTCATAGTTGATGACTAAAGAAACCTGCTGCACATCAATGCCTCTGGCCTATGGAAAGAAAGACGACAGCTTCAGCCTGTAAGTGAAGATATTGTCTATCCAGAAGGAACTTGGGACTTATGTAGGCAGCCAAAGGCAAAGGAAATACACATCTGCCTCTCCCCTGAAAACCTGAGGCATGCCAGATTTTATTCCAAGTTGCTACTTTCCTGAAGAAGGGCACTAGTAGGCCCCTTGGAGAGGGAATCACCTTGGTTTAGCCCTCCCCAGTTTTCTCCAAATTCCCCCTCCACTCACCAGCAGGTCAGTGGTAATCAATACTCTGCTGGAGCCAGAGCGGAACTCCCGCATGATTACATCCCGTTCCTTTTGGTCCATATCTCCATGCTAGAAAACGAAAGAGAAGGGTATGACAGGCACACTGGTACTGAGAACTGGCTGTAAGTAGAACACTGACATATACATACTGCTGGGGGTGGGGGGAGAACCCACCATGGCAGAAACAGTGAAGTCTCGGGCGTGCATCTTCTCAGTGAGCCAATCGACCTTTCTTCGAGTGTTGATAAAGATGACTGCCTGGGTGATAGTGAGGGTTTCATACAAGTCACACAGTGTGTCCAGTTTCCATTCCTGGGGGTGGGGTAGGGTGAGAAAAATCAGTCAGGGGCTATACACAAGGACTTACTACCAGACCTGCCTCCTGCACTGGGCCCCACCTCTCGTTCCACATTGATGTAGAATTGGCGGATACCCTCCAAGGTCAATTCTTCCTTCTTGACAAGAATCCGAATGGGATCCCTCATAAATTTCTTGGTCACCTCAAGCACATCAGAAGGCATTGTGGCCGACAGCAAAACCACCTAATGGGAAAAAAGAGCAGCTTCAGAACAAGAGATACTCCATGCCACCGCCCCTAGGTGACTACCTAAAACAGAAGCTAATGCAAAAAAAGGCTTAAGGGAAGATTGGAATTCTTTATGGTTCCTCTGGCAGTTAATGTTGCTGTTCTGTTACCCTAATGACACTAGTCCACAAAGGATCAGCTATACAGCTAAGACTCTCCATGTCTCTCACCTGGGTGTTGCTGTTGAGCTTTTGGAATATGTCATAGATCTGGTCCTTGAACCCACGGCTTAACATTTCATCAGCTTCATCCAATACAAACATCTTGATGTATTTGGGAGCTACAAAAAATAAAAAAGTATCAACAAGAAGTAATGGGCTTAACTTTCCCTATCAAGAACCAGGAAGGGACAGGTGGTCTGCTCTCAGAATTCCAAGATTGATCCTTTGCCTGGGAGCCCCCTCTGCCAGGCCAGACAACAGCCCTGGAAAGTAGAACACTACCTGGGCCAAGACAGGGAAGCCAGGCTCAGATGACACGCATGGGGTTCATCACAGAGCAACTCTTTTAGGGGGGAAAACTAGCCTCACTGGGAATAAAATTGTGGTCAAGTGGAAAGACTGGGAAAGCATGTAGAAGAGGGAAGTGACCCAGAGGACTAAAAAAATTGAGTTACTCACACAGGTATCTCCGGTTAAGCATATCAAACACACGGCCTGGGGTACCCACGATGATATGCGGAGCTTCCATCTGCAGCTTCTGCACCTCAGCACGCACATTAGTACCCCCAATGCAGGCGTGGCAGGAGGCACCCATGTAATCTCCTAATGCCATGACTACCTTCTGTATCTGAACCCAGAAAAAGATAAGTGCTCACATATTAGCTACAACTAAGTCAAATCCCATTTTAAGTTTATTCTTTCCAATAGACATGCACTATTAACTCACTTTTCAGTGAGAAACAAATTACATTTAAGACCACACTGATTCACCAACAGCCCTCTAATTTCAATGTAGCTTATCATCCTAGACGCCCCCTCCCCAACTTTCTGAAAGCCAAATGTGGACCCACTTATACTTGATCTCATAGCAACCAGTTTTATGTAGAATGACACATGTCCATGTCTTACTGCACTACTGCCACAAAAGTGGTCATGTTCACTCTTAAAAAACATTTTAAAACGATACCCCAAGCATCAATTAATAATCTATTTATGAAACCAGTCTCTTTCCCCCCTTCAAGATCCAGGAGAACAGTCCAGCATTATGATTTTATGGGCGCCCCAGGCATGAAATAGGCTGACCACCAAATCCAGCCACCAAGCTAGGACGGGACATCTACTTTGCCCCTTACTAAAAGCAACACCACAAATCAGGAGTCTCTTTGCCCATTGCCAGTGGCTTTGTTCATAAAACAGCCACCAAACTTGCCCAACTAGCCAGGCTCCACCCAGCAGCCTGGACTCAGGAAATGGGTGGAAGGAAGTGGAGCATATTGTGTTTGGGTAGAAAAAGAGCTTTTTATTAACCCAGAAAGTCTTAAGAGATCTACAAGCCATCAATTGATTTTCTTTAGGTTATTTCTTTTTCCTCCAACCCACCTGCCCCATACACCTCAGTTCTTCCAAGGTGGTGGTGGTTGGGAAGCATACTCTGGTTTTGGATTATGTTGATTATTTCTAAACCAGTCCTTCAGGAGGGGTAAGAAGGTACACTCTCACCTGCTGCGCCAACTCTCTAGTAGGCGCCAGGACCAAGGCCTGCGTGGCTTTAAGATCCAATTCAATCTGTTGCAAGATTGATATGGCAAAAGTGGCCGTTTTTCCAGTCCCAGATTGGGCTTGAGCGATCACATCATAACCTAAACAAATCAGGAGAAAAACTTGATGTGGTAGAGAGAATATACTTTGAGATCATGAGACATTCAAGGCCTTGTTTAATGAGAGCAATAAAGCTACACACCAAGCATGAAGTGCTTCAGACTTCACTCCATCACAATACAGTACCCCAATGAGAACAGATCTGGAAGCCAGATTCACTTAACGCATTTAATAACTATGATTTTGGGCTAGAAATACAGCTGTAAAGAACAAGTATAAGATAGCTAGAACACTACCTTATTGAAATCAAATTAACAATTCATGTGTCCAGGGCATGAACCAGGCATGGGCACAGACCAAAAGCCAAGCTGGGATGAACAAGGAGTTACTTTGTCCCTGGCTGATATGAGATAACCACCACCAAACCAGGTGCCACTCTACCCAGGCCAGGGACAGTCCAAAACTTGTTCTAGGACAGAGGAGTCTTACCCTTGATACAAGGAAGAATGGCTCGCTGCTGGATGGCAGAGGGCTTCTCAAAACCATAGGCATAGATGCCACGGAGGAGGGACTCCGAGAGGTTCATGTCATCAAAACTATCAACAATCTCATTCCAGTTACTCTGTAGAATGCAAAGAAATTAAAGTATAAGTGAGCCTCTACACTGGAGCAAATTGGAGCTTGTAAGCTTTCACCAAAGCTTCTGAGCCCACAATCTCTTCTTCCAGGAAGCCAGCTGGTTCTACATGGTCTGGGAAATCACTCTAAGGGCCATTCCACTTGTAAACTTTGAGACTGAAGGTTGTAGAAGGGAGGACAGGACCCAATTTAAATGACATGTTTTGTACATACCATCAATGACATAAACGTTTTAAACAAATCACTATAAAACACTTTTAAGACTTCCTGTGAGGAAGGCTTCTTTAGGAGCCTGGGTTCTAGTTTAATCTTAAGTCACGGAATCACCACCCCAAGAAACCAGGAGACACTTCTTTCGTAGCACTGCCCTTCCTAGAATTGAAGGACAATGATGATAGGGGTCCAATCTCACCTCGATGACGCCTTCGGGCTCCATTCCATCGGGGCCATTGTCTCTGGATCTGTTGGTTTAAAGTATGACATGTTGACTAAGGCACGTTAAAAATTCCGACAGCCAGGCTCTTCCTATCAGCAACGGGCCTTGCATGATGCCATCAGTCTTCACTCCCTGAACCACCCCACCCCCACCCCCACTCCCACCCCAGTTCCTAGAAAACAGTCGTTATTTTACATTTGAGTCAAGCCTTTGCCCCATCCAGGGAGCTGCTCAAGTCAGGCTGCCCCAACATGATAGGATAACGCTTCTACAAGACTCAAGGGCTGGGAGGAACGTCGCCACACTTAACGAGGCCGGGAAGTGGTGCTTGGCTTTGGGCCCACGTGTCCCGCACTGGCGGTTCCAAGGCCAACCGCATGCACCTCCCACCGTGGCCCCAGCGCGCCGGAAGTCCCGCCCTTCACCTCCCAGATCCGAAGGTAGGACATCCCCTTCCCCCCACGTCATTCCGCCCGCGCCCTCCCCCCACTCCCTCCAGCCCATCTACCCCCCTCGCGGTGCCCGGATGTGGGAGGCCGCGGGCGGTGGCGGCCTCGCGCACAATGAGCTCGGGCCGAGCTAGCACGGGGGGAGATTGCACAACACTTAAGAGGCGAAGCGGACTGGGGGAGGGGAGCATCTGAGACAGCCATGTGCTCACTTCCTCGACCACCCGGCGGGGTCTCCCCCCACCATGGAACAATCCACATCCAGCCCGCCCCGTCCCGAAATGGCATCGCCCTCCCGTACCTCAGGGCGCTCACCCCCGAAGGAAAGTGGACCTGCCCATCTGCAGTTTGCCAATTGACCGGCTTGTGCGGCAAAATGGACCCGCCCGCCGGGCGCCGGGTGGGCTTCTGGCGCCTCACGCGGCTGCTCTTCGGGGTTAGGCTCAGTCCTGACCGTCAAGAAAACCAGCACTCTGAACGGCCAGTTTCTTCTTCCCCGACCCGTATCTCAACGCGACGAAACGACTGGACATTAAACCCAAGGCTTCCCCCCCCCCCGACCTCAGCGAATGGTACCGCCAGAATCTTCCGAAATTCCGAGCGCGCACGAGCCCTCCCTACGGTAGTGAGGCAACCGGACCAGCCGCCTCTTTCCCACGCTAGGTCGCGACCTCGTCTCGCCACTCAGGGCCGGGGCTTCGCGCACCGCGTAGGAGCCCCCTAACGAATCTCGCACCCTGGGCCCCAAATGCCGGGCTGTCCTCGCCCTCTGTACAGGGCCTGGTGGCAGCATCGGCGGTGGATCCGCCCCCTCCTTCCTTCCCCCAGGACCGGTCCTCCCGGCTTGGTTTCCCCGCAACACTGGAGGGCCTAGGGTGGTGGGCCTTAGCTTCCCCCCGCGCGGGGCTCTGGGAAGAGAGCGGCAGGGTGATAGCCCCAATCTCGCAATTGCCTTCCTTACCGGGGATCCTGACTCGCAGACATGATCCTTAGAAACTAGGGCGGAGTGCCCGCCCATCGACAACTTATAGCGCCCCTGACCCCGCCCTAGCCATCGCATTGGCTTGGCAGCCTCGGCCCCGCCTGCCCGCTCTCAGCAACTCGGCGTGACGTTAGTTCGTAGGCGCTGTGGCACGCAGCCACCATTGGATATGTTGAACGCCTATCAAGACGAAGACCCGCCCCGCGGCCTCATTGGCTACAGGGCCCGCCCTTCTCACCGGTACGGAAGTGACATATAAGAGTCAGGCCTCGAGGCCTGGCAGCCATCTTGGGGCCCTGCACCCCTACACGTGCGGAGGCGATAGTATCTCAGTCATGTGGCCTAGTAGGCCCTATCACGGAAGGGGGGCGAGGTTTCAGCCTCCAGGGACTTCCGGGCTCCCGGGACTTCCACTTCCTTTTACCTCTGCTGTAGGTCTCCACTGGACCTATATTTTATTTTGTTTTCCAGCATAGGCAGATCTGACACCGCTCCGACGTGTTCCAAGTATACCAGGGATGATACCAGTAATCAGGAGCCATACCCTAGCGGGTGGGAGGGTAGGAGGGATGGAATAATCGACTTCTGGGCTTAAGAGCATTTGGGGTTGCTGTCATGAATCCTGACCGGCTCTCTTAAATGTCCTGTTCCCCAACTTTAGTACCTCTCAAGTTACTTTATTTTTGAGGATTACCTACTGTTGCTCCTTCCATCCCTTGCTCTCCTGGGTGGGAGATTCTTTTGGATGACTAAGACATGATGTTGGCACTGTCTGAGCCAAAGATGGAGAGGTGGCCCCTTAAATCTCAAGACCCATAAAAAGATAGCGAACAGCACTTGCTGGAGAAAAGCCTGAGATAGAGCACATCCACTAGTTTGAGGCCCCTTAAGGAAGACCACCACTATGTATCTCCAAAGGATCCTTTATTGACCAGAGCAGGACCGTGGCATTTATATATATATATAAAAAAAAGTTTGAAGATCTGGCAGGCAGTAATCCCTTTGCCCGCCCACCACCCCCAGCACAGATTTTCCTGGACCCACCCACACACGTGGAAGGGGGATGACTGCCCCAGGCAGGCTGCAAGGCCATACTCTCCTGCAGACAAGAGGGGAAAAGGGGCTTTTCCATAGCCACCCCCTAAACATCAGAAATCAACAAGTATTCTCTCAAAGAAAAAAATACAGAAATCAATTAAAACATTTAAATATGAAAAACCAAAGGGAATTGGGTGGGGAGAGGCGGGTGAGGAAAGGAATTGGAGTTTCTTGGGAAGGAAGGGTCTCCCATGTCCCCCTGCCCATTAAGGAATGGGCTTGAGGCCTGGGATATGAGGCTCACACAGTGAGTTTGCAGTGACACAGCTCCTTGTAGATCTGCCGACGAAGTTTGGGCATGTCCTGCTGGGTGAAGCTGAATGGCTGAGACAGGGCCAGGTGCTTGCAGTACTGGGTGTTAACAAAGCAGGCCATGAGAACCACCTACTGAGCATCCCCCCCAAGTCAGGACCTGTGCTACACATTTCATGAAATATGTCTCACTCGATCTTTCAGGGAACATGCCCATTTCACAAACAAAAGAAGCCAAGATCCCACAGGATAGGGCTCAAAAAGTCTGACTCTAAAGCCAGTGTTCTTACTTGGTACATGAAATACCTACTGTTAAATAGAGAAAACACTTTGCATCGGGGGTCATGAGGCAGGTATATCACAGTCAGAGACCAAGGACCAGAGACTCAGTCCCAATGTTGGATGGGGAAGCCAGGAGAGGACCGAGAAATCAGGGTTTCTGTGTTCTAACACATATGGTTACTCCTCACTCCACAGGTCGCTGTGAGCCAAATGAGGGATGTAGAACAGCCTCCCATCTCCCTCCCAATCCTTTAACCCAAATAACATCTGCTTACCTGCAACACAAAGGCGCCACAGTCACTGTCATTATTCTGCCTGGCCACATTCTAGAGAAAAGAAAAGAAGGTAGGCCCTTCATCTGGAGAATCCTAGGGATGTGGCTGCAATTTCTGCCTCCTACCACTATGCCCACCACCAACCCTGTACCACTCCCTCTAGAAACTTACCATTTTGAAATAACCTTTCCAGCCCTGGTGGAAATCCAGCCGGTCTTTCTTCACTGCCTCTGCCTGTAGATACTTGGCAATATGCTGTGTACATGGAGAAAAAGAGGAAGTGAACCGAAGGTATAGTGGTCACAGGCACCAAGCCTAGGTTGCTTCTCAGAGACCCCCAAACACACTCTTCTGGTTGGAATGCCACACTACTGGACATCCTCCCCACATTCTACCCACCTCCTTTCCCCTTCCCTGTCAAACCTTAGGGCAGCGGCGGTTTAGGGTGCGCTGCGAGTCAAAATAGGTGATGGTGCGTCGCCTCACATCAACAGAGATGAGGGACCAATGCACCTCCAGGTGGATGGGGATTAGCAGTAGCTCCTTATTGAAGATGTCCACCTAAGGAGGCAGTGCCAGAAGTCAGGTATGACAGCACACGAGTCCTGCCTACTGCCAAGAGGTTCTAAAGAATGGCAGAGCAGGCAAGGAGCCAAGTGGGCGAACACAAGACCCAGCCCCTGGATGTCCAGATTTTTGGAGTAAGGGAGGAAGGCAAGACAGAGGAGGTGGTGTCAAAACAAACACTCAACAGCCAAGGATAGGCGAAGTACTTTTCACACATCAAAGATACAAATGCTTAGTAGCTAAGCACCCAGGCTCAGGATTCTGAAGCCAGACTGCTAGGGTTCAAATCCAGCTCCTCCATTTACTAGCTTATGACCATGGACAAGCTACTTAATAACTCTCTATACCTGTTCCCTTATCTGTAAGAGAATGAAAATAACAGTACCCACACCTCATCCATTCGTTATGAGGATTAAACTAGTTAATATCCATAATCCACTAAAAACAATGCATGGCACCTAGTAAATGTCCAATCAGTTAACACAACAATCCTTCAAGGATGTTCTCGTAGTCAACCTAAGAATGGGGTAACTGTGGCTTGAAAAAGGAAAGTAATTTGCCCAAAGTCATAGAAGTAAGTGGCTCAGTTGGTTAAGAGCAAGAGCTCTGAGCAACCAGGTTGTCGGTTTGATTCCCACATGGGCCAGTGAGCTGCGCCTGAGCTAAGCTGCCGCTGAGCTGGTGAGAGTGTGAGCTCTTAGCAGCAAGGTTGCCAGTTCGACACCTGTATGGGATGGTGGGCTGCTGCACCCCCTTCCCCCTCCAACTAAGATTGAACACAGCACCTTGAGCTGAGCAGCCGCGAGCTGCCAACGGGTGGCCGGATGGCTCAGTGTGCAACAAGGTTGCCAGTTCGACTCCCGCATGGGATGGTGGACTACACACACCCCCGCCCCGCCCCCTAACTAGACTGAAAGCGGCAACTGGACTTAGAGCTGAGCTTGCGCCCTCCACAACTAAGACTGAAAGACAACAACTTAGACTTGGAGCTGATGGGTCCTGGAAAAACACAATGTTCCCAATTCCCCAATAAAAATCTTAGGGGAAAAAAAAAAGAAATGGCAGAGATGGAATTCAAACACAGGTATACAGAAGGCCAAGTTCTTTTCAATGTATGTGACCCTGCCTCTACAGGGAGAAGCAGGCTTGCCAAATCCCTGGGAGTATATAAGCTTTTGAATTTATGGACAGAAATTAGGTAATGCTAGAGCCAATGTCCTACCTTACTGTAGAAATTTCCTGGCCTATGAATTGGAGAGAACATTTTTCCCTCACTAAACCTGCTCTCCCCCTAATTATTTTCCCCAATAACTTAGTCCAAAAACCTAGGCATCATCCTTGATTCCTATCTCTTCATCATTTTCCACATCCAATCTGTCAGAAAGTCCTACTGGTTCAACCCACAAAACTTATCCTAGATAAAACTATGTACTTCTATTTCTACCTTTAACACTCTGGTCCAAGTTTCTCATGTGGACTTCTGTGCTACTCTCTTAGTCTGCCTACTTCTACCCTTGCCCCATTTTCAACCTATCACTGAAATAAGAGTTTAAAACATGAGGCACTTTCCCAGCCTGCTTAAAATTTTCAACGGCTTCTCAGTACACATAAAATAAAACCTACCCAACCCTCCATGCCTTACATAATCTCGGACCAAATTTTCTATCACTTTCTCTTTGCTCTCTCTGTTCCAACCACAGGGGCTCTCTGTTCCTCAAATGTTCTTTCTCACTTTGAGTCCAATGTAACTTGCTGTTCCCTTTGCCTAGAACACTTTTCCCCAAAATTTGCACATGGCTAACTCCTCAACATTCAAGTCTCTGCCAAGAGAGGCCATCCCAGATGACCTGATCTAAAAGTACCGACTTCCCATGCTATTACATTACTGTTTTAATCTGTTCACAGCACTTATCACTAGCTGAAACTTAATTTGCTTATTCTCACCCCATAAAGGCAAGAAGTTTTCCTTATTTAACACTGTATCCTTAGTGCCTAGAACGGTATCTAGCACACAGAAGACATTTAATAAATATTTGAAAGATTGAATGAACAGGATTGGAAAAACAGCTTATAAAAATATAACTCTAATTCTTTAAAGGCAAGATGTTACACAAGTAGATGTGAATTCATAACTCACGTTTTTGGTCCACCTTTTCACCCCATCATAACCCTTGGTACGGAGTTTATCGTAGAAGAAACTGTTGAAGAAATGCACCTGTGCCAATGATAAAAGAGTTGGATAGAATTAAAAGACCTCAGGCTCTCCTGCTAGCTGTTCTCTCCATTTCATTATGGCTCTAAGGACTGTTTTCAACAACCTGCACTCCAATTCATTGAGGGTAAAAAAAAAAATTATTTTTAACCTTATCTTACAGCTTCCCATCCCAATTTGTGGGGTTAGCCATAGGGGAAAAACACTGAAGACTGGGGGAAAGGAATAGAATTATTACGATCAGGACAAAGATTATAGATCTGAGTTTAGTAGGTTATCTTCTACCGCCTCTCCCCATAAACAAAGGCCCTCTTTATGTAAAATGGGAGAAATAAAAGGGACTGAAAAATCTGGTTAAGCCTACCTTTTCAGGGACTGTGTCCATGACCAGGTCTCCATACATGTTCATCACCTGGGGAGGAGATGGGAAGCAACTTGCCATGGAGGGTGCAGCATGGGTATAGGGCTCCCCCATGAAGAGGGCCCCAGACACCCTATTCCCTGAATCCCCTCTTGGGCCTATTTCGCTACACCTCCTCACCTGGTCATTGAGCCAGTTCTGTCCATACAAGGTCCCCAGGTCATCCATGGTCAACACGTGCCGTTTATAGGCCACTCGGAAGCCCCTCACCATGGCATTTCCTGGCATCCGCTGGTATGACTGGATCAGCTGCAGCACCAGGCCCTTCCTGAACAGGCCAAGGGTGGAGTCACACAAAAGACAAAGGGGCTAGGGCACAAAGAAGTACCTTCTACTGCATAGGATAAGAGTCTAAACTACCTCCTCCCCTTTTGGGTCACTGACCCTTTTTATGACCTGCTAAAGGCCTACACCCCAGAAAAAAGCACATGAATACTCAGGTATACATAATATTCCAGGATCTCAGGTAAAGACCCTCCCAGTTGGCTTACAAGGACTTAGCACCTTGCCTGTAGATTCCCCCCTTTAGTTCTAGCTTCCTTTTTCTCAAGTACATCCGAATGGCAGAAAAAGCAGTAGCATTCTTTCCCCATCCCCCAGGTCCTAGCCCTCTTCTGAAGGGCATCTCTTTCATTACTCACCTGGAAGGTGTAGAAAATTCCTGCTGGAAAATGTCCTCCAATTTCTCTACTACCTCATCAGTGCTGAGGGGGATGAGGCTGCCATAAGTTTGAAGGAATTCATCTAAGATGCCTGAGTGGAAGAGGGAGAGAAATGGGGTGAGACCTCCAGACACTGACCTAAGAATTGGCTGAGGCATACAGACTAGGTCCTCTAGGGTTCCTTACTCTGCACACAGGTCACATGCTCCTCTCGCAGGGGGCTATGCTGGCCAGCTTTCTCCCCAGGCCGCTCTGCTTCTTCTGCAGTGCCCAAATCTGAGCCCTGAAAAAGTTCCTGGGCCACATGGTCCCCGATGCTGCACACATTGCTGATGAGGATGCTGGCATCAGAGGGTGCCAGACTTCGCTCCCCTTCCGGCCCAGATGGTCCCCCAAAGCCATTGGGCAGAGTACAAGAGAGGAGGCCTACAGGGCAGGGAAACAGGATGGGGATGAGAAATTGGCTCAAATGAAAGGACAAGGGGGAAATTAAATGATGCCCACAAATTATAAGACCACGAGAAGGATGAATTGAAACTGACTCTACCAATATAAAGTCTAAGGAATAAAAAGACCCTAAAGCATGAGATAAGCATGTCCAAGACGTTATAAAAGAACAGAGAAAGAGTTACTACAGTTGACCCTTGAACAGCATGAGGATTAGGGATACACCCCCACAATTGAAAATTACATGTAACTTTTAACTCCCCCCAAAATTCAGTGGTCCTTCAGTATCTGTGGAGGACTGGTTCCAGGATCCCCATGGATACCAAAATCCACGTATGTTCAAATTCTTTATATAAATGGCAGAGAACAATGCATACTGTCAGCCCTCCGCATGTGTGGATTCCAAACTGCAGACTGAAAATACTGTCTTCGATTCGAGTTTGGTTGAATCTGCAGATGTGGAAACTTGCAGATTCAGAGGGCCGACTCCACATATAAGTAGACTTGGGCAGTTCAAACTCGTGTTAAGGGTGAACTGTACTTATAGACGGGGAAAGCAAGAAAAGGCTAGGATTCAGAGATGTAAATTTCAGAGATATTTGTCACCACTACATGCCTCGCACCTAACGTATTATCTGACATATAGCAAAGGCTCAATAAATAGTTGAATAATTCATAAAGACACAGAGAGCCTAAAATTGTTTTGTTGGGGTTCACCAAAAGAGAAATATTCTGAGTGAGAATGCCACATGCAACCATACAGGTGATGTGCTCCACTATTCAGAGAGATTCCAACCCACCACTGAGAATGGCACCCCCTGGAAACACACATGAAAGGGCCCTTCTCCTGAAAGGCCGATTGAAGAGGGATTTCAAGAGAACATGGCTGACTTTTCTAAATCATGTCTCCCTTTCTCATCTACGCATAGGACACCTACTTAAGGATTCTGTATCCCAGTCTTGACTGCCTTCCCTGACTTAGTTCCTGCTCAAAGTGGGGCTTAAGACATTTCACAGCTATTCTGGACCCCCTCACTCTGCCATCCTACTTTCCTTAGGCCCATTTTCATCATAACAAGAGGCTCCTATTCCTCCAGGATCAGGGTCCTCCCCAACCCCTCCTCCACCCCATGCCCACCTTACCTGAGTCAGGGTCCAGAGGAGACTTTGGAGTCCACCTTAATCCATCTTCCTCCATGGGGGGCACAGAGGGTACTGGTGGAGACCCTCTCACCCCATCCTCAGCCATGAGAGCACCTAGCAGACCCAGCCGAGGGGGAGGTGGCCCCCGAGGGGAGTCAAAACGACAGCAGGGGGATGGCACCTGCGGTGTAGCACCCCCTTCCTGGGGTGAAAGATGGTTCTTAGGGTGTGTGAGGCTCCGCCGCCGGCCCCGATGACGCCCCCAGAGCTTCCAGTGGAATGTCAGCGAGGTGCTTTTTGAGTAGAACAGCATCTGGAAGGCTCTCATAGCTCTGCGGCGGCGCTGTAAGCAGGTTTTTCGATGAGTAGGACGGGGAGGGCGAGGTCGCTGGGTGGCTCCCAGCTGACCCCATCTGGGGGGCAACCTCCAAGCTGCCACTTCCTCTTCCTCATCTTCATCTTCGTCTTCCTCTTCTTCTTCCTCCTCTTCACTAGCTGAGGCATCGAAAGAAGGCCGAGGGACAGGGAGGCGTCTGGCTGGCACTGTGGTCCCTGACCCAGGATCTGGCCCAAACCCTCCACCTGATTTTAGTCGGGGTTTTGGGGGTGGGGGCCAACGAAGACGCTCTCGCCTAGGGCTTGAGTAAGCTGGGGCTATGCCAGGTCCAGGAGGCTCAGGCCCCCAAGACCCGGTGCCTTGTATAGTCTCCTTCATCTTCCAGTAGCCTGTAAAACAAAGGTTAGTGTCAGAATCCAAACATCCTGTCCCCCAGATCCTGTCTCTCTTCCTCAGCATACCTCTTCTAAACCAGATGCAAATAAACTAGGATTCAGAGACATGCAAAAAGGAAAGAGAGAAAAAAAGCAAAACTCCTAACTTCAGATTTTCCTGGTTAACATGGTCGACTATGGACCTTTAACGTCTGTGCCATCATCATCTCTCTCCTACCCAGATAGAGGCAAGGGAGAATGGCTAAGCAGCAGGCCTTGGGGATTTTATTTTTCAGAACCCCAGATCAAACCCAGGATTTTCAGACTCTACTTCTCTATTTTAATACTACCAGGGTGTACTAATTGACAGCCTAATAAGGAAGAAGGCTCGGGAATCCTAACATGATACAAAAACACAACTTCCACAAGGAAGCCATGATCTACAGTGGGAAGAGAGTTATCTATCATCCTGGAGTGAACTGGGGAAGGGGCACGTTCAGGTCGTCTCAGGGGGCAATGGGGATGCCACGCCTATGGTTCAGAAAGTAGAACCTAATAAAAAAGGATTTTAAAGAAATCTGAAAGAGAACCGAATCGATGCTTAAGCAGCCTAATCAAGACGCTGGGACAGAAATGAGCAGCGCGAGCCATACTGGCCCAGCCCCCTCTCCTGCTCTGTCCCCGGGGACCAGAATGCGTCCCAGCACCGGTATGGTCCTGCACGCTCGGACGGCTGGGAGTCCAAGGGCCTTAAGAAGACCCTTCGAGGGCCTCCTGGGCTCCGGTTAAGTGGGAATTAGGTCCAGGAATGGGAAGGGCCGGAGCAGGGTTGGGGGGGGGAGGGGAAGGGGCGTCCTCACCGGGAGAAGGGAAGCCGGACGGACGGGCCCGAGGGCGGGCGTCTCCGGCCTCAGGCTTCCCGGCTCATCTCTCTGGCGACGGCGGCAGACCCGCCACTCCTGCTGTCTTCAGGCGTAGCCGTCTCAATTCAGAATTCCAACGCTTCTGGCCCGCGCGCCGTGCCGCTGAGCCGCCCCGCCGCGGCCGCCTCTTGCTCTGCTTCAGCTTCCACCTCCACCACCTCCCCCTCTTTCCCCTCCTCCTTCCCCTCCCGCGAGCCCCAAGCCCACCGGCGGTGGCGGCGCACAATTACTACGTCACACCCGGAGAACAGCGCCGGCGCGGCCACCACGCTTCTAGTCCTGCCTACCTGTGAACGTCGACGCCACGGGACCGTCCCGCCCCGGAGCCCCACGCAGGGCTGCGCCTGCGCACACCCGCTGACCTGGGCTGCGCGCAGCGACCGCACCACACGCTCTTTTGCGCCTGCGCGTTCTGTGTTGCTTCACGCCCCGCCGAGTATTTGTCCTCGACTCTAGGGCTTGGGCACCCGGGTCGAGATACAGTTGGTGTGGTGTGGCGTGCCAGAGGAGAGTCAGGAGGGCAGGAGATCAGGTAGAGGGACGGGGCTGAGGCAAGGCAGTGGGGGAAATGGATCCGAGGTATCATTTATTCTCTTTTATTTAACTTTAAGCAGAGCTTGAGCAGAAAGAGCTTGCAGGAGTGAGGCAGGACCAGCACAAGGGCGTACGATTCAGCCAAGGCTCCCTGGCGACCCGCCTCAGCCAAAAGAGGGGCTTGGAGTGACTTGCCATGCCAGGGGGACGCACAGCATAAAAGGCAAAACTTGGGACTCGAAGAGTAATGTGGCTGCAAGGGGACTGTCGTCGTCGGGCACCCCCTTCAGACGGGCCTATAATAAATACACCTCTGGAGACAGTGATGGAAACTGAGGTCAAATGAATAGAGAGAAATGAGGATAATTCGTTCTCATGGGGTGAAGAGGCAGAGGTTACCTGGAGGGAGGTGTGGCATAGTGAACCAGGAGTTTTCCTGAGTGAAGGGAGGCTTTGTGGATTTCTGCCAACAGACAAGATGATTCTCTCAAACTGCCGCTAGATGGTGGTGCTGTTCTGGAAGCATTCCAGTGGGACCCAAAGCAGGTCTAGACAATGCATTATCTCCCCACCCCTCCAAAGCCCCAAGAATTTGGGGCTGGATGGAGGGTAAAAGCAAGATATTCTACCTCTTTAATATCTATTAAACCAAAGTCGGGGTGGAAAGGGAATAGGGAGGAAAAGAGAGAGTCATGAGCTGTCAAACCCAGCGTTCCAGTCAAACCCAGAAGAGGCCTGTGTTCCTGCCCATTCCCTGTCCTTTGTCTAGTCAGCTCTTGGCTGTCTCCAATATGTACCCACCCTGGTCTTCCAAGCCCAGAACCACCTTTTACAACACAATCACAGTTTCACAAACCCCAGGAAGGTTCCATGTGGAGAGAGGCTAAGTTTCGCCCTTGCTCGGGGGATTATGACACTAAGAATATCCCCTTGGTGTAAATGGAAGACACCTGAGAAAAGGGAGAAAATGGATGCTAAGTGAAGCACAGCCATGCAGATAATCTGATGTTTCACCTTTCCTTCTTCAGATCAACCTTTTTCTGCTTCCTGCAAGGACCTAGGTATTCTGTCCTTCATTCCTCAGATCCAGCTCTACATCTAGGCTTCCAACCCCCCGTTATGGCTCTCTCTCTGTCACTACTACCCCTAGGTCAGAGATGCCCTGCTCTTCTCACATCCACCCCTACTGCCTACAAGGCTCTTACCTGCACTGTAGCAGCTATTGTAAGCCCAGTCTGGGTTGGAGGGCATACTTCGTATACACCGGAATAGAGTCTCCTGCCTTCCTTGGCCCTCCCGAGACACCACTTGACCCATGGTGAAAGTCACATCATGAAACAGAACCTGGCAGGGAAAGGAGGAGATGTTGAAGAAAACAGGATAGTGTGGCTCAGTTCTGGAAGGCTTCAGGAGCCCTGACAAAGGAGCCAAGGAATGAAGAAGGGTCTTCTAAGTATGGTATGAACAGAGGGTTGGAACCCTCAGTATTGGGGCATAAGGCTCTGGGAGAACAGGTCTCCAGGCCTCCACATGAGGTTCAACATTTGTTTGGGGTTACCTGGCTGTACAGCAGATAAACTCCAGCATCCCAGACTCGAACAACATATCCTTGGGCCTCCAGGCCTCTCCCACGCTTAAGAACTGGTTGCCACATCACCTCTGTCACATCAGAGTCCTCTGGAGGTGAGGAGTGTGGCAATCAGGATTTCTATGCATTCTCAGGTACTTTTCACCTTTAAGATTCTCCAGGGCCCAGCTGTCAGCCCCAAAGTTCCCAGATCTTTTCCCTCCCCAAAAGCCATTATTTAAAATAGTGCTCACCCTTGGAGGTAATGTTAATGGGAACAAGGTGCAGAACTGAGTGCTTCTCTGAGGAGAGAAGGAGGAAATCTCAGCAGTGCCCACCTACCCCAGTTGCCCTGTTGTCAGCCCTCCACCCTTACCCTGACTTGGGGTAAAAATCTCCAAATCCCCATGCTGCTTGATCACCTCCCACCCCGCTGTACCCCAAAGGCCTCACTCTTCTGTTTATGGGTGAGTACTGCTCTCCTTCTCCGGGATCTCTCCCCATTCTCCTGAGCTTCCAGGCTGTCAGGGCTCTGCTCATGGAAAGAAAGTCAGGGTTAGGCTTAAGATGCAAAAGATCCAGACAGCCTTACTTTTCAGCCCTCCCACCATCCCAGGAATGCCCCACATCTCTTATGCACCTTTCCCCAGCAACCTGAGTCTTGGTGCTGGCTCTATTCCAGGATCTGGTAGGTACAAGAAGCATTAATCTTTAACAATTTCCTTTCCTGGAATGGCTGCTCCCTTGACCTCCAAACCCGGGACCTCTCTTGCACCCACTTGGAACTTTGCAGACTAGGAGGCTAGAACCAAGAGGCCCAGAGACCCTGGGCCTCCCATCCTTCTCCCCCAGACACCCTTTTCCCCTCACTCACCTGCTTCTGGAAGCTGAGCCATGGATACCCTTCCCCCTTCTCAGAGGGCCCTCCAGTCCTCTGCAGCCGGGTCACCTCTCTCCTTAGGGTTTGCAGCTCTGTTTGTTGGTTCAGCAGAGCCATGGCACAAGCCACAGCTCCCAGAGCTGCCCCCCAACTCAACCAGAGGGCTACTGAGAGTGCCGGCTCTCGGACCTGGCCCCTCATGTCTCCTGGGGGCCCTTTGGGGGCTAGCAAGGAAGGAGATGAGGCTGGCATGAGCTGGGGACACCGCCAACAGCTATGGTCTCAGGAGTGGATGGCAAGGAGGTGGCAGGGAGGGTGGGAGTACAGGCAGTGGTGCAAAAGGGAGGAAGGGCGTTACGCAAGGGAGAAATAAAAAGGAACTTGAAAATAAAAAGGAGGGAGGAAGAAAGCAAGCTAGGGGCACTGTTGGTGCTCCTGGCACCCCGCTGTGGGGCCAATGTTGTCTTGAGACCCCCCAACCCTCCTCCAGCCTCAGGAGAATTTGGTGTCAGTCTCTCTAGGAAGCACGGGGCTGCCAGTGACACCCAGGAGGAGCGGCCAGAGCACAGGAACCCTGGGGCGGCCCCAGAAGTGGGGGAGGGAAGGTTGGCTGGCTATGGGGCATAGTGCCAGGAGCAGGGATGGAGGGACAAGCTGGGCAGCATCGAGGGTCAAGGGGTGAGGGTGGAAGATCCTCTGGGCTCAGGCCAGGGAGAGATCTCTGGGGAAGTTTGCTAGGAGTGACTGAAGGTGGGAAAGGAGGGGAGGGGGCCAGTGGGGAGAACCAGGATCGTGGAAGAAAGAAGCTGGCTGAGTTCTCGGGTTAAGGCCAGGCCGGGTGTGTTGGAATAAGGCCTGCACTACTCCCTGTGCTGAACTTGGCAAGCAGGACTTCCTGTTTCTTGAGAAAAGCTCTTACATAAGGCTCTGGACGAAGAAAGAAAGAGACAGCCCCAAGCACCCTACCACTGTAGGATCCCTCCCCTGGATCCATGTTCCTGGGTCCCAATGTCCTGCTTGCTGACCCTGAAACCCCCTCTAGGCCTCATCCCACCCCACATCCCAGCCAGGGCTAGTGCCAGCACCTGCTGAAAGTCCCAAGGCTGCCAAGAGGAAGGGCCCCTGGGTCTCCCAGCTAGGGATTCCCCGCAGGAGGAAGCCCGCCTCCTAGGTAAATGAGGCTGCTTCTGCTGGACCTTGGGCAGAGGATTAATTTTTTTTTCCTGGCAGTTTGCCTTTCCACTCTCAGGGGTTGAAGGCATGTGGGTCCCCACTCCCAAGCCTGTACCCTGCCCTGGAATTCCAGGTGTTTTACACCCCACTCCCCAATCCCCAAGACCCCCTTCCTAGGGCCCTCAGCTAACCTGAGGAGGTCCCCTAAGCCCCAATAAAGAGAGTGACCATGACTTATTCTCTTTAATATCCGCTCATCAACATTTTGTCACAATAATAATAAAAATAATATCTTTTAAAAATCCACAGGGTATTATCAGGGAGGAACTTGTCTTGGTCTCTTAGCCCTCACATTAGGGAACTCCTGGCCTAGTCCCAGTCTCTGGCATCCAGCCAGCCCTCTTAGTGCCTGAAGAGGGGTATTGGGGACCCATCCTCACCCAGAGTACAGTAAACACAGTGTCTCAGGGGGCTGTGGCCAGAGTGGGGAGTCAGGAGACACATGGGGGCATCAAAGATCAGGGGTTCAGGAGCTAGTGAGGTGGAGAACCAGAGGTGGGGGGCAGTTGTCAGAGATGAATGGGAATATTTATGTGGCAAGGAAAACACGTGAACAAGCCCTGGCAGCCTACCTAGGGAAAGGCAGCTCTGAAGGGAGGAGCAGCTTAGGGTCGGGCAGAGGGGACTGGGGTGCTCAGAAGGTTGTTGTGGGGAGCCAGCAGTCTGGGTAAACCACCGTGAGACCAGGGCCCCTCAGTGAACTTGGAAGAGTCCAAAGTAGGTGAGAAAGGGGGCAGCCTTGAGATGGGCCCAGGGGAGGGTGCGGATCCGTAAGGAGGACCCTGGCCTGAGGGGCAACAGGCCAGACACCTGGCAGAGACGGAGCTGGGGCCCGAGGGAACTTGCCGCGGTGGCAGAGAACTCTTCTAGGCAGCGCAGGGCCAGCGTGTCATCAACCAGTAAGTCCAACTTCAGGTAGACAGCCTTCCCCTCATCAAAGTGCACCTGGGGAGTTGGAGGAGGGTGACAGAGTCCAGGTCTCTGCTTGCCCTCATCTCAGTTTCAAATTTCCTTAGAACCAGATATCCTCTTCAGTCAAATCCCCAAGCTCCTGGTCCCCACCTTAGCTTGCCCCCACCCTGTAAACCAAACCCTTCTTCAGTTCTTGCTTTACCCATGGAGCCAGGTGGGGCTTACCTGACAGTACAGGTAGTAGAGCCCAGCCCGAGTGACTATAAATCCCCCGCTCTGGCGGTCATAGCGCAGTGGGTTGGAGCTGTTGATTTTGGCCTCTTCCCAGCCACTCACTGTCCCGTCCACACCTGAATGTGGATGTTCAGAGATAAGGGAAAGTCCCTTCACAGGACTCACACACACTCCCTGACACCAATTGAGTTTATAAACCTTTAGGGCCCACCTTACCCAGGAGATATATAGATAACCCAGGGCAAGGGAGGAGCCACGGCCTATGGAGCCCATAGTGTAATGAGAAGTTATGTGAAAAAAATCCAACATATATGGCGAGAACCACACAGAGCAAGCTGTGACTAAGACGCTTCTGAGGAGAAGAGTAGGACTGAAGGGGAAGAGTGGGGGTTTCTATATTTTGTGTCAATAGTGTTTGCCTCTTTTAATTTGAGAAAGTGTATATACATTACTTGAATCATACATTACTTGGATTATTAAAATTAAAAATAATAAAATGGTAATCAACTGTCCATCAACTGATGATAATGGAAAACTGTCGTATATCCATACAATGGGATATTATTCAGCCTTAAAAAGAAATGCTATGAACTTTGAAAACGTTAGGCAAAGTGAAAGAAGCCAGTCACAAAGGACCACATAGTAACTGATTTCTATGAAATGTCCAAATAAACAAATATAGAGAGACAGAAATTAGATTAGTGGTTGCTTAGAGCTGGTGTGGGGGATGGAAATCAAAGAAATAGGGGATGATGGCTAAAGGGTATGGGGTTTCTTTCTGAGGGGATGAAAATGTTCTAAAATTACTGTAGTGATGGTTGCACAACTGTGTGAATATACTGAAAACCATTTAACTGTATACTTTAAATGGGTGAATTGTACAGTATGTGAACCCAGCTTTATCTGAATAAAGCCATTACAAAAGAAATTTAGAGCTAGGGTAATAGCAAATTGCAAAGAAGATAAATAATAAAATGACAGAACAGGACCTCAAGTGGCTTCCCAGGTCCTCCACAGCCACCCTGTCTACCTCTCCAATCTAATCTCACATACCCCTCTAATTCACAACACTCCACCCACTCTGGCCTTCATTCTATTGGGTTGTCGGAAAAGTCATGACATATTTGGGCCGGCCGAGTGGCGCATTGGTTGAGAACTGGCTTGGGATGCCAGAGGGCCCCGGTTCAGATCCCACATATGAGGGCCAGGTTCAGATCCCACATATGATGGCCAGTGACACTGCCCTCTACAGCTAAGATGCTGAACAACAGCTCAACCTGGAGCTGAGCTGCTGTGAGTCGCCCGCAGTGTAGGCTGCAGCCCCTGCTGCAGTGGGTTGCCATGGGCTACCGTGTGTAGCCAGCAGCCAGCATGAGCGGGTAGCAGCCACTGTGAGTGGCTGTCCAGAAGCCGCGACTGATCTGCCTCGCTGGGGAAGAGCGCAATGATGGTGCCAACTTGGGCCAGTGAAGCAATGTCCTCCACAACTAGACTGAAGAACAAAAAGACAGCAACTTGTCTGTTCCCCTTCCCCAATTCCCCAGTGCTGTTCCCATCCCCCAATTCCCCAATAAAAATTTAAAAAAAAATCATGACATATCTTTTCTCTGTTTTTTGTTGCGTTATGACTTTTCCGACAACCCAATATTTCTGCCACCAACCAAGCTCCTTGTCCCTGCAGGGCTTTATACTGTTCTTCCCTCTTCCCAGAACATGCTGCTCTGCCTGGCACATTCTGTCAGTCAGGTCTCAACTCATCTGAGGCCTTCCCTGGCCACCCAGTTTAAAATAGCCAGTCCCAGCCCTGCCCTCATAACTTATCACCACATCGCCCTGTTTCTTTCATAGTAGTCACCAACATGGGAAATCATCTAGTTTATTTATGTATGTGATAGTTTGTGGTCTGACTTCCCCTTATAGGGCAGGGACAATGGTCCTATTCTCCACTGTATCCTGGCACCTGGAGCTGGGCCTGCTCTAAGGGGGCACCCAGCAAACACTGGAGGGAAGTTGGCAAACGTGGCCAACAGCTCTCTGTTTGGGTCCAGAGGCCACTCTCCTGGACCTCATTGGCTGTGTCTCAGCAGCCTCAGCAGCTGCTTCCCCAGCCCTTCATCCTCTGCCAGCCCCAGGGCCCCATCCTTGTTACTTTCTCAAGGAAAATGTAATGCTCTCTGGGCATTTTCATCCCCACTTGTGGGTTACCTCGGCCTTTACCCTGCAGACTCAGATCTGAGTCTCCAGCCCTACCCCGACTTGCCCTATTAACTGCTGCCACCTGAATAGCCCTGGGAACCTCAAACTCATCTTGACCAAAACTGACCTTGGTGTCAACCCCAAATTTCCCTTACTGTCTGTATTCCACATTCGGCAAACAGTTCTACCTCCCACCGGGTACCTAAGCCTCCCTCTCCTTCACCAACTTTATTCACCCGTTAACTGTTCCTAGGAATTCTGCCACCTAAATAGCTCTGTCCCATCTCCCTCCCAGTGTGGCCCCTGCCACTTCTCACTTCTCAGCCTCCTATCTCGTTGGATTCCCTTTTTCCAATCTTGCCTGCTCCAGTTTATCCCCTAAGCACAGCCACAGAATGATGCTTCTTTTATTTTTTTAAAGAGAAAATAACCAAATTTAATATATACAGATGTATGGGAACCCCGCATACATGACAGAGTCAGAGACCTTACATGCACGAGAAGTTCCAGGGTGATATTTCTAAAATGCAGATGTGGGCCTGCCTCTCCTCTCTTTGACCTCAGAATAATTTCCAGGCTTCAGTCAGTTCTGACCTGGCTCCCACATTCTTCTCCAACCTTGTGCCCCATCTACTCCTCTAGCATTTTGTCCTTCAGTTACATGGAGCTTCTCATGGTCCCCCAGCCTCATCATTCTCTCGACAAACTCGGGGATTTTGCACAAGTGGTTCCTCCTGCCTGGAAAGTCCTTGACCCCTTGTCCATCTTACACTCATGCTTCAAGGCCCAGGGAAGCCACATCTTCTTGGGGAAGAAATCCCCGACTCCATGTAAAGTTGTTTATCTTCCTCTATGCCACCATGTACTTCTGACTACGTTCAATATTGTTCTTGTCATAGCATACCCTCTCCTAGACAGTAATTCCTTGAGAGTAGGTCTGAGTGTTATTCACTGTGGGCACCTACCTGGGTCCTTACAAACAGTAGGTTTTCAGTGCATGTATGTTGAGTCAAAGAATGAACGAATGTCTGGGTAACTGCTAAAATAAGTGGTCCACAAAGAGAGGAGGAAGGCTGGCCTGGGTCATGAAGAGTAGGGGGAGAGAATGAGGGAGGGTGTTTCTAGATATAGAACCAGCTTGAACAAAGGCTGGTTGTGGCCAAAGGGCATGTTATGCCTGGGACAGTGGTGTCACTGTGTTTCACAACCACAAACCTCAAATGGACATTCCTTACTTTGTGGCAATCCTCCTACTTTCCCTCACTAAGCTTGTGTTGTCACTCACCAAGATAAAGATTTTGTACCATCTCTCCTCAAACTTCCTGTCCCCTGCGCTCTCATTCTCCAAAACACCTAAAAGTCATCAGGCAGCAGCTCCCTCACCTCTCTGCACCAAAACTACAAACCAACCTGCTCTCACTTTCTCCAATGCCTGTCTTGTGATGATGGGATGATGTGCCCCTCGCTTCATTCTGGAATTCATCCCCTCTCACCTT